GACAGAGAAGTTCTCTTCACAAAGATGGCTTCCTTTACTCCTCTCTCGAACCAACATTCCTCTCTATCAAGGTTATGAACATCTTCATCCCTGAAATAGTGACTGCTGGCCTGGAGATGAGTGTAGACCATAGAGACCTGATGATGTTGCTCTTCTGTGCTGGGCCATCCACTCTTAACATCTCCTTCTAATTCAATTTAATTCAATTCAGTTTATTTATATGGTGCCAAGTCACAACAGAAGTCACCTCAGGGCACTGAATAGAAACATTCATATACATAAAAAGTAAGTTAATAACAATATTTATCTGAGGAGCAGACTGCATGGAGTTTAACTTCATTACAGATTCTCATCTTGAGCAAGCATGAAGGCGACAGTGGAAAGGAAAAACTTCCTCATGAGAAAGAAACCTCTGGCAGAACCAGACTCGGGACAAGCGGTCATCTGCTTCGACCCTGGCTGAGGCTTCCTATCGATGTTCAAATTGATTTCAAGATTTGGATATAATTAGATCAACAGATCTAATGGTGCAAAGAATAACATGATATAATATATTATATTATATTAGGTGGGTTTAAAGCACAAGTCTGTCTCAAGGTAAGAGCAGTAATTGCGTTTTCTGCAGCTGACAGCCATTTCATTGTTTGGCAAGTAAGCATCTGCTGTTTGAGGGTAAATTTCGATTTATGAATGTAATCGAAAAACTATTTTAACATTATTAATGACGTCATTGCAGTCAAAGCAGGAGTAAACAAAATGAACTTGAGGCAAAAGACCAAAATTTTTGTATAACTGATCGTCTCGACTATCGATATATTCTTAAAATACAAAAGTTGCTTTATTATTATTATTATTATTATTACATATTATTATTTATTTAGTATTATTATTATTATTATATTAAAATGTTCAATTATTTAAGTGGTCTAAAAATGACAGTTTCCAAATATTAGCTGATACATTAGCCCCAAATGTTGTAAAATAAAAACATTTACATTGACTTCAATATATCTATTGGAAAAAACTAAAAACTCTTCTAACTAACAGTGTTAACATTTGACAAGTGTGTTTGTGATTGTGTGCTCTTCACTGACGTCATTGCTGCGACTATTTAAGATGCGACAGGTGCACTTGATTGTGTTGACCGCTGACTGATTTGCGTTACCAAGAATAAAGTGTGAGGTGTCTTTCTCACGATGAAGATAAAGCAGTGAGTACCTTCATTGTCCGACTTTCCTACCCTTAAGATGTCAACGCCAACAGGTTATGGGCCCAGGAGGGACATGGGAAGTCGATGGCAAAGGTTGTGCTTTGACGGAGATGAAAGAAATTACGAGTTGTGGGAGACTAAGTTCTTGGCTCACCTCCGACTGCAAGGTTTGAAAGACACAATTCTGCATAATGTCGAGCCGGATGCAGATGCCAAGGAAGAAGATGATTCGGAGAAAAATGAGGAGGTTTATGCCGAACTGATCCAGTTTCTAGATGATAAAAGTTTGTCCTTGGTCATGAGAGAGGCAGCAGATGACGGCAGGAAGGCGTTGCAGATTCTGCGAGACCATTATGCGGGCAAAGGGAAGCCGCGAGTCATCAGCCTGTACACTGAACTGACATCCCTCCAGAAAGCTGCCAAGGAGACCGTCACAGACCACATTATTCGGGCTGAAACTGCCATCACCGCGCTGAGAAATGCCGGAGAGACGCTGAGCGATGGACTGTTAATTGCAATGATTTTGAAAGGTTTGCCTGAAACATATAAACCATTTGTAGTCCACATAACGCAAAGCAGTGAGGACAAGCTGACATTTGCTGAGTTCAAAGTTAAGCTGAGAAGTTATGAAAACACTGTGAAATTTAATGCAAATGTGGATGAAGATAACGTGATGAAAGCAAGTGGTTTCAGGAGCAAACAAAAAGCAAATCCAGAGTTCACCTGCTACAGCTGCGGTCAGAAGGGACACAAAGCACGGCAGTGTCCGAGACATAAAGGACAGAGACAGTGGTGCAGTTTGTGTAAAAGTCCAAGTCATAAAGAAAGTAACTGTTGGCAAAAGAAGAAAGAAAGTGTGAAACAAGCAAATGATGACGTGGAGGATCACTCGTTCGTTTTCAAGATGAACGACTCTCAGATCTGCGGGTTGAAACGGAGAGGGCTCATGGTGGATACCGGAGCGACTTCTCACATCATCACCGATCTGAAGAAGTTCAGACGCTTCGATGACACTTTCCAACCAGAGGAACACTTCGTGGAGCTCGCTGACGGGACGAGGGCGATCGGTGTGGCACAGAAGAGAGGCGACGCTGAGGTCTGGCTGCGGGACACAGAGGGACGGAAGGTGAAGGTGGAGATGACACGGGTGCTGTACATCCCCACGTATCCACAGAGCATCTTCTCTGTTAGAGCAGCGACGTCCAAGGGAGCCTCGGTCAACTTTGAACAAGGACACGATCAACTCATCTCTAAGAACGGCACCAGGTTCGATATCAGAGTGTATGACAGACTTTATTTCCTTGACATTCTTGATGAAAATGATGTTGGTGATGGACAGAATGATACAGTATTGGGTTGTTATGACATTCAGGAGTGGCATAAAATTTTGGGTCACTGTAATTTTCAAGATGTACTAAAACTAGAAAACGTTGTGAAAGGCATGAAAATTAAAGGGAAGGTCGACAAAACGAACCTAGAATGTGAAACTTGTATTAAAGGGAAGCTGGTCCTATTGAGCCTGCTGCAAAACATGGATTTAAGTATGCACTAGCATTTACTGATGATTTTTCAAGTGCAATATTTGTCTACTTTCTGAAAGCTAAAAGTGACACAGTCAAAGCTACCGAAAGGTTTATTGCAGATGTCGCCCCTTATGGAGACATAAAGTGCATTAGGTCAGATAATGGAACAGAGTTCACGTCAAAGGACTTTCAGTCTTTATTGAGTAAAAATTCTATTCGACATGAGACCTCTGCACCATACTCACCTCACCAAAACGGGACAGCTGAAAGAAGCTGGAGAACACTGTTTGATATGGCAAGGTGTTTGTTGATGGAGAATGATTTGCCCAAAGAGTTATGGACTTATGCTGTAATGGCTTCTGCAGTTATTCGCAACAGGTGTTTTAATAATCGTTTGGAACAAACTCCATATTATATGTTGACAGGAAGGAAACCTGATCTTTCTAAAATGAAAGAGTTTGGATCAGTGTGTTATGCATATAAACAAAACAGGGGAAAGCTAGATCCAAGGTGTGATAAGGGCATTTTTGTGGGTTATGATAAAAGCAGCCCATCGTATTTAGTCAATACCCAGACACAGAAAAAGTTTGTAAACACAGACTGGTTACATTTTTAACTAAAAGCGCGAGTGAATGGCAAACTCAAACTGATCCAGAGATGTTTGACGATGAAATTAACAGCAAAAGAACGTTTCCTGTTAAGTTGGAGTCAGAAGCAGAACGTCAGGTGTCAAAGGAAACACAAGGGACTTTGACTGAACCTACAGTGAACAAAGAAAACACGAGTGTTAGACAGAATGAAGAACATTGTATGCATCGTTCCAAAAGGGAAAGAAAAACACCTGCGTATTTAAAAGACTATGAATGTAAAGCAGAGAGTGATGAATATGGAGCAACAAATGTTGACTATTGCTATCATTTAGTGTTTAATTCACCACAAAGTTACAAAGAAGCAATAAATTCACCTGAGGCTGAAAAGTGGGTAGAAGCTATGAAAGAAGAGATTGAATCTTTAAAAGAAAACAATACATTTACACTGACCAGACTGCCAGAAGATAAAAATGCAGTGGGGGGTAGATGGGTCTTCACAGTTAAGGATAACATCGATGGAACTGAGACTTATAAAGCCAGATATGTGGCAAAAGGTTACAGCCAAGTAGCTGGTATATATTATAAAGAAACGTTCACACCGACAGCGAGTATGACGTCTGTGCGCAACTTAATGCAGATGGCAGCTCAGTATGATCTGAAGCTACATCAGATGGATGTTAAAACGGCCTACTTACACGCTCCTATTGACTGTGAGGTGTATATAGAACAGCCTGAGGGTTTCGAAGTCAACTCAGATTCAGATGAAAAACTGGTTTGTAAACTAAACAAGTCATTGTATGGTTTAAAACAATCAGGACGCAACTGGAACAGGATGCTCCATGATCACTTGACTGAAGATGGTTTTGTACAAAATCCTGCAGATAACTGTGTTTATACTAAACAAACTAAAAATGAGAGAATAGTTGTGATTGTTTGGGTTGATGATCTCATCATAGCAGCGAGTGATGATCTTCTAATGGACAATGTAAAAGAAATGCTAAAAGCAAGGTTTAAGATGAAAGATATGGTTGCTGACATTTTTACTAAACCTGCTACAAAGTTGAAACTTCAGAGGTTTATGTGTTATATATTTGGGATATAAGGAAAACAAGTAATGTTTATGTACAGTGAAAGAGCAAGTGGGGGTGTTAACATTTGACAAGTGTGTTTGTGATTGTGTGCTCTTCACTGACGTCATTGCTGCGACTATTTAAGATGCGACAGGTGCACTTGATTGTATTGACTGCTGACTGATTTGCGTTACCAAGAATAAAGTGTGAGGTGTCTTTCTCACGATGAAGATAAAGCAGTGAGTACCTTCATTGTCCGACTTTCCTACCCTTAAGATGTCAACGCCAACAAACAGTCTAAAAAGGGTCAAAAACAACTTTTAAAGTTCACGGAGAAAATCTTTGATGAAAACACGATGGTAGGCTGCGCGCGCACCCGCGGCAAGTTGCTAGGCAACCGCATGTACACAAACATGGCTGCCGACTCCTCGGATTTCAGTCACAAAAAAATTGTTACCCACGTTTGTTGCTAACATCAATTTAAGCAATATAAACACGTTGTAATTTACCCAAATAAGTTCTAGTTTGCAGTTTTGCGACATAAACATTTGAACTCTTTAAATTAACTTCCTATTGCGTTTTTTTTTTTTTTTACTATCTTTTTTTAATGACTCAAAAAATGTTCGTGGACACTTCAGTGCCAGTGGACAGTCACGGACCCACTTCAGGTGAATCACAGGTAAGATTTAACACGTGTAAACCTAAACAAAACTAACAGTGGATATTACTGAAGTCCTTATTTTCCTCCAGGACATGTCTCATATTTTAGCTAGCATTTTTAAAGACGTGTACACAAACGACATCATTGGGAAAGACACAGTGTCCAACGTTATAAAGGCAAAGGCAGGACAAAGCAGCTACCATGAAAAATATGTTGAAGAGCTTCAGGAGGTAAACACACAGCGACTATATGCTTCTGGTTTATGTGAGAAAATAATAAAAGCAGTTGTTTTTCTTTCCTTTTCAACTACCCAGGCTCATTCTGACTATCAGCTGTGTATACAAGAAGCTGACATGTTGGAGAATCATATCATTCAGGCCAGAGCTCAGGCTACAGCTAAAGAAAGATGGGCCTTTGAGAAGATCAGGGAGAAGATAGGAGATTTCTCTGATTACCAGGATGCTTTTACAGGTAATCTTTGACCTTGTTTTCATTAACTAATGTTAATAAACTGTCTGCATATAGAAAATGATGGGAATAATGCAATTTTTTTGTATGTGTAGGTTCAGTCCAATCAGCGTTCTCCTGGTGTGTTGATGATGATCTTCTCCGACGAAACAACCTGATATCACCGAAGGATTACTTAACTATACAAAACCCACAAGCACCGGCTGCTGGTAGCTTTTTAATATATTGAAGTAATATTGACAAGAATGGTTTGATTCATCCATCCATCCATCCATTTTCTTTACCCGTTTATTCCATTTTGGGTCACGGGGGTCGCTGGTGCCCATGTCCAGCAATCACTGTGCGAGGGGCGGGGTACACCCTGGACGGGTCGCAAGTCCATCACAGGGCTGGTTTGATTCAATCCTCTTTTTTTTTTCTCCTTTCCAGTTAAATCCAGTCATTCAAATCTCACAACCTGGGTGCTCCAGGATGATGAGTTTCCACTGATTCCAAAGAAGACTGTGTTAGAAATGAATAAACTAGATGATAGCCATCTTCATACAACAAAGGGAACCCTCAAAGGGGTAATTATTTACGTTGACTCTGACTCTATACTTTTTACTATTCTTGATTTTTCCCAGTACAGGCAATGGAAATATTTTTCAAATTGTAATTAATACATTAATGTATTTTTTTAATACAACATGAATATTTATAATTAGTTAAAAAAGACTTCACAAACAACAGAAGCAAAACGCTTTAAGAAGGAACAAAACAAAAAAAATCATTAATAATATAATATAATAATTAGAGTAATATATAATATTTAATAATTATATTTATATATACTGTGTATATAATTTTAAAAAAATGTGTATATATATATATATCTATATATATATATATATATATATATATATATATATATATATAGGACGTGTAAATCAGCAGCTTTACCACAATATATTATTTTGATTTGTTTGTATGACGATGCGATTTTTCTCAATATCACAAAGTCTGTCACGATACAATTTAGATTCTGTTTGATTCACAAGTCTGTGATTGATATATTGCGAAATCAAATGCCCATCTCATTTACAAATAAATAAATTTACAAAAACAATTCAAAATTTTATTTCTGTTATTACAGGCAACAGGCATTTAAACAATAAAAAAAACATTTTTTTCTTAATTAATGAAAGATAAAAACATGACCTGTTCAGTATAGTCTCACATTTCTCATGTTTAAGAGCATTTTTTTTAAACCAGTTACCTTAAAAGTGCCCTGATTACCTTTCAGTTATAAAGAAACAAAAATAGATATTGAGCTTACATAACATGGCTATCAATGCCGTGTTTCTTCTTAAGGTGAACGGCCAAATTTGTTGTTTTCCGAGTATTTTAACTCCCACTGGCACCTGTTGCATACGACATGAGTTTTGTCTGTTGAGCTGTCCTTCTGTCGGAAGTAAAAATATTTCCACAGTGTTGATTTAAATCCAGCAGGAGAGTGAATTTCATTATCTGTGTTTTCTGCCTCGTCTGCCATGTTGCTGAGGTGGCCGCAGAGCGCAGCCGCGCACGGAAATGGTGACACAGACGTGCATTGGGAATTTCAAAATAAAAGTGTATTTTAAAGATAACGATATGAATCAATGTTTTAGTTTTGTCACAATATAACTGAATCATTAATCATGTAATCGATATATCGATTTAAATCAATGTATTGTTACACCCCATATCATTATCAGTTTATATTATTATCATAGTCATTATATTACAATATTGTATCATATTATTGATATGATATATGATGATATACCAAATGATGTATCATGATATAATGATATAATTATAATTATTAATGTAATATAATAACTATTATATTATAATATAATATACTGGTAATAGTAATAATAAAGTAGGGATTGACAATAAGAGATAATGCTAATCTGGCAAGCCTGAAAGAGGATACTTTGATTGTGTTTCCACCCATAAATATAATATCTCACATCTATCTATTATATTTCACATGTTTTAGAAGCCAAACAAAATCAAATCCAGACCCAAGTTGATGGATGAGCTGAGCAAAAAGAATCAAGAAGAAGGGATGGAGGAACTGCAGAAGTTTAAAGATCGACACAGCTTCCTACGTAATCCACGCTTCCTTCCCCCGACTGAACATCAGGGTGGAACATCCCTCATTCGTGCAAAAGTAATGAAAAAGTGTGCGAGGAAAGGCTCTGAGGATCAAAGGTACCACAATGAACCCAATATAAAGGCCCATTTAGAGTTATTGTTTATCATTATTACAATAGGCACCAAAGCAAGTCACCATATTGACTCAGATGGTTGCTTGTTTGGACATTAGTTGATGCAATACAATAGGCTCAAGTCAGATGATCCTTCATCAATATTGACATGAAACGTGAGCATCATTTAGCTCAGAACAAACAGCTGTACACCTGCCGTGCCAAGGAAATATATGTAAGCTGATACCTTATGTTTTACAAAATCATCCCCAAGCCTGGCAGCATAAAAAAACAGACAAAGCATCACTTAATCTAGTTCTCCTTCCAACTGCTATAATATGTTCTGAGCAGAGATGAGATTGGTCTTTTAAAGAATTTTTACACTACCCAAAAAAAAGGAACTGTCCCGATAAACTGACTGAACATTGTTGGATATGTTTAACAGAGGGATGAAGTTTGAGACAAGTTTTCTTGTGCTGTTTTCTTTCCATAAAGCTCTACTGATGATCCTGCCCCAGTCTTCCAAGCAAAGCCCTCAGTGATTACTTTTACGGACTACACTGTGGGACATGTCTATGAGGTTTGTCTCAGTGAGACAACAAAACAATCCCAAACTGACACAGCACTTAAACTGCACAGTAACACGCCTTGTTTTCCTTCAGTCTACACTGGAGCTGACAAACGTGACTTCCACAAGCCGTCATGTCAGAGTCATGCCTCCTACGACTCCGTACTTCTCAATTGGTCTGGGTGAGTTCCTTATAGCTATGATAGGGTTGGGTTTTGCAGCCGAGCACGCAGTGGAGTTGAAAAATGGAACGTGACAGTGTGTAAAAGTGCCTACATCTCTGGGAACTTCTAGTATGTTTCTTTCTCATGCGGGTGTAGCAGATGTACAGATTTGTACTCTGAACATAAGTTGCAATTAGTTGAAAAAGAGTTTTCGTAATGAAATGTTTGTGTTTGACTTGCATTGGCAGGGAGATTTCCTGGTGAAGGGGGTATTGTTGCCCCGGGGATGAGTTGCAAGTACACGTTGCATTTCACTCCAGACTCTTCGGGGAACTACAAAGATTTTGTCGAGGTGAAGACCCAAGCTGAGGAACTGCTTGTAGTGCCCATTGAGGCATGGAGACCCCCTCCAATACTTACCCGTAAGTCATGTAGCAAGGTTTTCATACACATCACCGAACTTGGTTTAGTCTCCATTCTGGTTGAACCTACTTATTGTGCAGTTCCAAGAGTTTTGGACTGTGGCAGCTGTCTGGTTGGAGGAGTGAAGTTTGTTGAGTTTCAGTGCCAAAATGTCGGACTCAACTCTGAGACGTTTTACATCGCCTCGAAGGACCAGCGGCCAGACACAAATCTTAGGGTAACAACCCATTAGTTGATTTATTGAAAACACATCAACTGCATCAAGACTGATAAAATAACATATCTACACGAATTTTTAAAAAGCATTAACGTATTTTTCGGACTATAAGGCGCACCAGATTATAAGGTGCAATATCGATGAACGGGTCTATTTTCATACATGAGGCGCATTAAGCGAAACAAAACTGTCAAATTTTACTCAGCTCATTCACAATAACTCTCAACATGTTTCAGTTGTACCACATAAAATCAGTTCGAGGTCAGTAAGCACAACCAGAATTAATACATATAAGGCTCACTGGCAAATTTCGAGAAAATTAAAGGATTTTAAGTGCACCTTATAGTCCGAAAAATACAGTAATTACATGCTTACGTATACCTTTTTTTTTAATACAGTCTGTATCCAGGGTTTCTGAGCAGCCACCCTTTTCAGTGAGGCCCTCCCTGTTTGTGCTGAAGCCAGGAGAGGCCACAGTTGTGGAAGTGAGTCTGAACAGGGGGGCATACAGATGAATTTCAACTCAAAGAGAAAGATTCTTTTGCTACCGTACTATTAGCTGTTCTGTGTGAGAAGAGTAAAATAACTACTGCCATATTTGGTGTTCATGGATTTTAGTTAAAATGTTCAAAAGCTTTTTGCACCAATTTTGTCAGTGTGTGTTCAGATGCGTAGATGTGTGTTTTGCATGTTTGCGTGTGTTTGTTGGTTTGCAGGTGGGATTTTTTCCAACCGCTGCAGAGAAGAGCCGTCAGATTTTTACTGTCGTCTGTAGAAACTGCCAGGTCAAAGACATTTCCATAGAGGGTGAGTCTTCACAGTAGGTTGACGGTAAATGTGCTCTTTAATTCATACATATTTAACCCAGTATATATTAGAACGACGTTTGTGCGTTTTTAGGTGAAGGCCACTTTGCTAAACTTGAGCTTGTGTCTGTTTCTGGGGAGACCAAGCCATTAGAGGTCGGAGAGGTTCATGACCTCACCGCGGAGCACTTTGTCCGTTTCAGCTCATGCAACCCTCACTCTGTTCAGCAAAAAACACTTGTCACCAGAAACAAAACGTAAGTTTTTCACCTCTGTATATCAGCAATACCATACAATTCTTCACAGTAAGTATAAAAATGGTAAATGTCTCCTTATCAAGTTTAAAGCACCAGTAATGAAAAATTCACATGGCTGATATTAGGCCTATCATCTTGATCGTTTAGGTCTTTGTTGCAACTCACTGTGTTATTCTAATGTTTTAAACCACAGTATAAGACATTCCTCAGAGTGATGATTCAAGTCATTTTCCTCCTTTCTGTCTTTCCTTCTGAAGCCACATGGAGCTGCCTTTCTACTGGAAAATCATGAAGCCCAATCTGCATCCCCTTCTTCCAGGACAACCTCCTGAATCCTCAAATATCCATTTCCACCGAGCCACAAATGACGTTTTCCACATCAGCCCCACATCAGGCGTCCTGGCTCCCTGTCAGGTCCAAGAATTTCTCTTAACCTTCTGTCCAAAAGAGGTAATAGAGACAAAGTTACAGAACACACGGCAATATTTTAACATCTTTTAAAACATACTCAAACATTCTAATCAAAATGGTTTGTGTGTTTTTTAAGTTGGAGGATTATCACAGTGTCTGTCACTTGGTCCTGGTAGATGTCCCCCAGCTGCTACCAGAGCCCAGTGAGAGCAGGTACAATCTTTATACTTATTCTAGCAGAACTGCAAACTGTAAAGATTAGTTAGAAATTATATACAAAGAAAGTCTCATGATACTGATTGAGTGCTGTGTGTTCGCTTATGGGGGAAATATAGTGTTCTTCAGCTTATACAGACTGCCAGTAACTACGAGGTGAGAGATGTGGTCAGCATGGAGATAGAGGTCAAAGGGTCAACAGAGCCCTACCAGATCCTTCTGGAGCCCTATGCTGTTGTTGTCCCTGGAGAAGTTCTGATGTGCACGCCCATTCACAAGCAGTTTAAGGTGGTTTAAGACACTTCTTCCTATTAGTTTAACTAATCAGATTAGTATCAAATTTTTGTTTCAATTAATGATGTTTCTTGTTTAATATTGTCTCTGTTTTAGATGTGGAACCATAGTAAAACTTTCATCTTGTTTCAATGGGAGAAGTTGGAAAACAGCTGCCACATCATAGAAGTAGAGCCATCTGCTGGTCAAATAGGTGTATTGCATAAAAATAAATTGGGGACGAGTGTAATTCAGCACTTCCATTTCACTTTGTTCTAATGCACTGCCTTTTTATTTGTGTATTTGTTGGTTCTTTGGGATCCCAGAAGAGAATGAGTGTTTTGATTTTGATCTTACTTTGACCGGAGGGAAACCAGAAAAGGTTGAGGCCATGCTGGTTTGCAACATCCAGCATCACAATGAACCGGTTATTTTGGCCGTACATGTCTCGTTCAAAGTAAAACTTAGCCGCATTATATAAAGCATCAGCTTTTTTATTTTGTTGATCTGATGTTGATTTTTATTTTTTTTTTAAATAGGGTCCAACAGTGACACTCAATGTTCCCAGTGTGGACTTTGGTCTCGTGAGGCTTGGGGAGCAGACTCAGACCACTGTGCTTCTCACCAATACTACCAATCTGGAGTCCTCCTGGTTGCTGGAGGAGAAACTTCATGAACTGCAGGATCAACAAGACACACAGGTACCGCACCACCATCGTGACAGCATCTTAATAAAAGAGTGTAAGTGTTTACATCTTTATCCACTTATCTCTATTGGTCCTTAGATCTTAGTGGAGCCATGCAAAGGTGTGCTGCCACCAATGGCTTCTTGCAATGTAGAAATTGTGTTTAGGCCACGTTTCTGCCAGCAGTTTGAAACAGAACTGAAGCTGATAGTGAAGGATGGAACAGGATGGTGAGTACTGACATCAACATGATCCTCGTTCTTTAGAAGCTTTTTTATTAACTTGTGGCCAGGAGCAGCCTTGCCAACATTTTGTTAAAGATGATCGTGAATCGCTACGTTTTATGGAAGAAAATGGTCTCAGGTAGTTTCTGTTTGACAGTCATGTGTGGGTGCGAGCAGATGTGCAGTCTCCTCAAGTCTGCCTCTTAAACTCCAAGTTGGTCCTCTCTGAATTTTACATCGGAGTTCCCACGAAAGGCATTGTGACTCTTTTCAATCAGACTCTGCTGCCGTCACGCTTCAGCTGGATGGTATGCACTGCTAAATAATTTGGAAACTATCTAATCTGAATGCTATTCATAATTTGTGCAATAATGAAAGTTGTTTTGGGCAAATATTGTCACTCATTACAAGTTAAAGTTTGGTATTTTACTCATCAGGCTGAGCTTCAGGGTAAACAGGCTCCACTGTGTGCAGCCAGCTTTGATCCGTCCTCTGGTACTCTGGGGCCCAATGAAAGCACAGAGATCACAGTCACCTTTACTTCTCACACAGATGTAAGTTTTCATGCATGGATGCTTATCTTTGAGACAGAATGTGCCAAAGCGTTTTGTTTTGATGTTTTTCTTATCGCTTGTTTTTTACATTTTTTTAGTTGGCGCTAACGGAGGTGGCTGCTGTCTGTGACGTTCAGGGAATGAACATACCTCTCATTCTGGCCATTTTCACATTCCAACCTAAGAAACTCTGTGTGTCCTACTCGCTGCCTGGTGACCGGTACTTAAAGTTAAGGTTTTGTCTAAAAAATTGAGCTTCTCACAAAAAACATTTCCCCTTTAACTTGTCGTGATTTGCCTCTAGTTCCCTGCAGCATGACTGCAACCCTTCATCACTGCTGCTTGACTTTGGAGATGTAACTTTAAAGAGAGCTGTGACCAAACCGCTTCTAATAACCAATCAGACTGCTATCCCTGCTCCTTTTTCCATAGAGGCAGAATACTTCACCTGCCGTATCCTAATGCCAAATAAGTCAGAGAAAAGGTGAGAGATCACAGATTAAATTTCCTTTAATATGGCAGATATATCACAGATTACATTCTAATCACAGATATATCAAGAAGCCACTTCATGCCTTACAAGCAAACAAAGTAGAAGCAAAAGCCCACAAAGGTATGACTTAACTGGAGGTGACAAAAAGATTCATCACAGCTAGTTGTGCTCATTAGTTCATCTGTTGTCAGAGTTTGAGAGCAAACTCCTGGCTGATGGAAAAGGTGCAGCTTTTCACGTCCTGCCGGATTCAGGGGTGCTGAGACCCTTTGAGACCCATACTGTGGATGTGACCGCCTATAACGACATGTGGGGAGAATACAGAGATTGCCTTATATGCAAGGTGTGTTGGCTGTGAGATGCTTTGTGATCTTTATGTTCCTCTTTTGGTCTAAATTGTCTCTCTGCTTCAGGTTGGGGATCTCAAACCCGTTCGTATTTTGATGAAGATGACAGTGAAAGGGTGTCCTCTTTACTTCCGAATGACAGGTCCACGAGAAGATGACCAGTTTCAGGGACCAAACATACAGTCTGTTGCATTGATTTTTTATAAATTGACCCTTGTTTGTACATTTTAATGATGTTTTATTTTGTGATTTTCTGGTTAGTTTTGGCACTCACGTGTCTGGAGGGGAAACAGTTTCTCGACTTCTTCGTGTCAACAATCCAACCATGTTCGGTGAGTTGTTGGTAAAGTTATTACTAGCAAGTTCCTGGAGAAACTTTGACGTTGCGTCCATTTTAAAGTTTTGATTTGACAATACTATTCGTTTCGGTTCGCTCTTAGCTACCACCTCACCAAATTTCAGCTTAAAATCTTTTTTAAATAGCTGAGTTATCGTATATTTTCCCCTTTTAGCTAAGGTGGCCAGCTTGGATTTTTCATTTGCATTAGACTTATATAACATTTCGCTCTCAGCTAAGACCATACCAAATTTCAGCTCAATATCTCAAAGACCGACTATATTATAGTCAATTTTGAGTTTTCTGAGGTAGCTGTGGCGACCATCTTGAACTAAAATGGCTCCAAAAGTTAATCAGTGTTTTGTTCAGAGACCTCTCCACTCTAGGTCATGTCAAAGTCAAAGTTTCTTTATTTGTCATACGCATCACATGTGGTACATGTGGTGGAATGAAATTATGGACGCAGGGTCCCAGTTACATCCAACAAAAGTATAAAATGTAAAAGAAAAACGGTAATAAGATCTAAGATATGTACTAAGAAAAACGTTAAACTAAAAATATGCTAAGTACTAGTGACCTCACTGTGACTGTTAGAAGTGGTTAACTGTCAGTGTTTTTCATTGAGAAAAATGGCATCTTTGTTAGCAACTGATGTTGCCATGGTAACTCAAAATGGCAATAAAAGTAATAGTACACATCACGGTGGCGAGTTGGTCATTTGTGGGGGTACACATTTCGGTTCGGGCTGCATTAAAGTTGACGGAAGAGTAAGATATAAAGTTAAGAAACCCTTTTCAGGTGGATAATAATAGGTGGCTGCCTTTCTAGGCAGTCCTCATTTAAAAATCCTTAGTCCCTTATATTAGACATGTCTTCTCTGTTGATTATTCCGGCCTGTCTCCAGACTCCCATTTGTTTCTAAACTACTGGAGAAAATAGTTGAGTCCCAGTTGAAGTGCTTCCTGGAGGGTCACGCTATCCTAGAGCTATTCCAATCTGGCTTTAAACCTCTCCATAGCACTGAAACTGCCCTGCTGAAGGTTTATAATGACATCTTCTTATCCACAGATACTGGTGATTCTGTGCCACTTGTCCTATTGGACCTCACATCCGCTTTTGACACCATCGACCATGAGATCCTCATCTCTAGGTTGGAGCAGTGGGTGGGCATCACAGGGTCAGCCCTCAGTTGGTTCAGATCCTACCTCGCTGACAGATCCTTTTGTGTTTCCAACAAAAATTTTAGTTCTGCAACGGCAGACCTTAAATGGGGAGGTTCCACAGGGGTCCATCCTGGGTCCCCTCCTATTCTCTTTATACCTGCTGCCACTTGGTGCTATTTTCCATAAACACAACATACCCTTTCACTTCTACGCCGATGACTGTCAAATTTACTTCCTTCTAAGACACAGTGGTACATGCTCTATTCATCCTCTGCTTGACTGCCTGGCTGACATCAGGGACTGGATGGCTTTAAATTTCTCAAGTTTCAATGAGATGAAGTCTGAAGTCATGTTGTTCCCTTCCAACGACACGATCACGAACCACTGCATCGACCTTTCCGCTATAGCCCTATCAGAAAAACAAAGAGTCACAAATCTGGGAGTGATAATGGACCCTTCCATGAAACTCAACAGTCCGGTAAACGTGATTGTTAAATCGTGTTTCTTCCAACTGAGGCGGCTGTCCAAACTGAAGCCCATATTGTCCAAAAATAACCTGGAGACAGTAATACATGCATTCATTACATCTAGGCTTGATTACTGCAATTCGCTCCTGTTTGGTATCAGTCAAACCACCATTGCACGACTACAACTGGTCCAGAATGCAGCAGCCCGATTTTTAACCAGTACAGGCAAAAGAGAGCACATTACTCCAGTTTTGGCCTCACTGCACTGGTTACCGGTTCACCTTCGAATCCAGTTCAAAATACTCCTGTATGTCTACAAATCGCTAAACAGTTTTTGCTTTGTGTGTTGCCTGTTTTTCTGTCTGTACAGCACTTTGGTTGGCCTTGTCGCTGTTTTAAGTGCTCTATAAATAAAATGGTATGGTATTATAAAAATAAAAAAAATATTAAAAAATCTTTCAGGCTTCAAATGTTGCGCAAGATGCTCATTTTCAGATTTTTTTCTCCGCTGTAAAACACCATCTTGTTGTAATAAATATTAAACCTGAAGTTCTAAACAATTGTATTTATTTAATCTGCGACAGACATTCGTGTAGACTGGGAGACCTACAACTTAGATCAGAACGACCATAAATTGGTGGATGTTTTGGTGTCGTACGGAGAACACTTCCCACTGAAAGATGCTGACGGCAATGAGGTATTTAGTGAAGCGCTGAGGCTTTTCAGCAAAACACAATGGGAGCAAACTCACACACCTGTATCTGATGGACCAAGCTCTTGCCATCAAAGTGAGACTGTGAGTATATTTAACATAACTCATAGAAGGTTGAGGTGCTGATAACTGCGTGTGATTAAACACACGTCTTCTTTTTCCACTGGCTCAGACTGATTTTTCTTCTATTGATTTCAGCACAAAGAGGAATTTGCAACTGTGGATGAACGTAAAGAGAAGGAGACAACTCTTTGTCTTTCTCCTGCAAAGAAAAATCTCATCTCTGTCCACATCAGACCTCACCGTGGCAACCTTTCAGATTACCCCTATTGTATCACACCACGGCAAATGGTAACTTTACTTGTGCTACACTGCTTTATCAATAGTTCTGACTGAATGATTTTATTCATGTGAAAATCCCAAGGTGATTCCAGCAAAGAGCAGCGGAAATGTCCATGTATCGTTCACTCCTTTGACTCTCTCTGCATCTGATGGTAATGCTAAATGTGCAGGCTTGGCGCTGGGATTCATGAGCCTAGACTCTGAGGTAATGTTCTCAGTGCGTGAAATATATCAAAACACAGAAAATGTAAAAAAAAAAAAAAAAGATGTCGTTGTGTGTGCGTTGCAGATTGCTGTTTGTGTCCCAGGTAAAGTCAGAAGGGAACAGTGTTTGGATTTAGAGCCCGTCAGAGTGGATCTACAAGCAACCGTTCAGCCTGCTGTGTACGTAGTTACATTCACACTATTTATGTCCACCAGACTCCTCATGCACCAATTTATGTTTCCTGAATTAAAATAAGCTGAGGTTAGGTAAAAGCTGCTCAGAGGTGGCCTGATTAAGTTGCATGTCTTCCTTTTGGATCCCATTGGCTGCAGGCTGTTGGTGCAGATGGATGAGGATGAAGGGGTGCTGGAGTTTAATGCGTTAGCCGGTGATTTACTGAGAGTTAAATCAGACAAGAAGGTCAGGAAAGCTACAGCAGTGCATACATGCATTGATTTCAAGGCTTCTTGTTATTTCTGGGCATTCATTGTGTCTTTTCTTGCTTTATTCTGCAGCTGGAGGCTCATAGTTTTGATGTTGCACAGACGTTTCAGCTAATAAACACAGCTGAGACGCCTTTGTACTTCAAACTGGGGACTCGGCTTCCGTTTTCTGTTGTTAAGCCTCAGACTGGTGACGGTCTGGTGCTTCAGCCGCAACACGGCATGCAGGTGAGACGAGGAGACGTAGTCGTGGATTCATGTTCAGCTGTTGTTTTTTGCATGAGGGACGTTTGGATCTGAGCTGTTATTTTTTCGTAAACGCTAGGTGACGCTGGTTTTCCACTGTTCTCTACCTCTTCTGGACCACCAGACAGAGGAGGGCGTCTCTCCTGGAGTAAGGCTGATCCATACTGAGAGCGGTCAGAAGAAGCTGAGGTTCCAGCAGAACCTCCTGATCCACTTCAGCAACAACAGCCTGCAGGTCACACAACTCCACAAATGAGTGTCAATTGTGGGTTGTCGCAAAATACATTTAAATTTTTTATTTTGATCATTGCAGACAGTGCCTCTATGTGCCTACCTGGAGGTGCCCACTCTGAGTCTCTCTACTGACTCCCTCAGCTTTGGGTTTTGTTGCACAGGGCAAACACAAACCAGAGAAATAAACCTCTACAGCCATGGGGCCCACACCTACTGGAAAACACTGACTAGTAATGATCTTTACAACCATTACAGACATTTTTAAACCACTAAAACTCTGGTGTGCTAGTTGTGGCTGTATAATAATTGCTTGTCAGTCATGATCAGATCTCTCTGTGTTTAGAGTCAAATGAAAAAGACCCTCGTGTGTTTAGCGTTACACCGGACTTTGGGCTGCTCAGGTCCAAACAGCCTCACGGGACCACCTGTAGCCAATGTCTGCAGATCAGCTTCACTCCCAGGTAGCAGTCAGTGAAAGAATACACGTTTAGAATAGATGAATAGGAACATTTGGCAAGCTTTTCAGATGTCTGTGTTTGTTTCAGTGAAAACAGAGAGTTCAGTGCTGTGGTGGTTTTCCAGTCTCCTCTGGTGAAGACGCCCCTCACCCTGCAGCTCCAGGGAACAGGATACTTTGACGAGGCACAAAACACATCACTGTGAATCTACAGTCACCAAACGTGTTGTCATTGTGTAAGATTGTAAATAAACACTTAATTTGCATCGTTTTTCTGCCAAGACATTTTGACTGTTTTTCGGATCTTGGAAAAATTTACTCCAACTTTTTAAGTGCAGTTCTTTCTGCATGACCACGTTGCTTGATCACCTGCAATTATAAATAGCATGAACGTTATGGATGAGTTCTAACTTGAGTTTAGATTCTGGTACAAGTAATTCAAATGGACTTTAAAGGGTTTTTAAATTATAGGAACTTAACGCTGTTACACTTAAGAGATAACATCCCGATGACTCATTTGCAACACTTTCCCAACTATTATCTAACCATTAGTAAATTAAAGCTAATAAAACATTTTGCACAAAAGAAAATGGTGCAGCTGTGATGATTTTGATTATAAACGTTGCAAAGCTTGTCACCTAATCGAGGATAATTATCATGTAATTCACAGAAGATGCAGTATGATGCAAAAATTTACAGTATATTTGCACAGAAGGCATAAAAATAAATTATTTCTATGCAGGTGATAAAATTATCAGAGGTAAAGACAAATATCAGCATATTAACAGCAATGTGTTTTATGGCTTTTTGTACTATTGCGTAACAAACAGCTCATACCACTTTACATCGAGATAAATCACAATTTTTGGTTTGAGCAAACAGCTGGTGACATCAAAGAGAGAAAAGATGTAAAACTGAAGGCAGTGAGAAGTGTAGTGGTATGAAGGGAAAGAGTAAAGGTGAATGAAGCCCTCTGCAACCTGCTCATGGCAGCAGAAACGAGTTTACCGTATTATCCGGACTGTAAGTCACCCTTTTTTTCATAGTTTGGCCAGTCCTGCAACTTATAGTCTGAAGTGACTTACTGTATTTTCTGCCGTATAAGTCACACTTTTTTGCATAATTTACATGACCTGCAACTTAAAGGCCAAAGCAACATATTTATGGATCTTTTTCCATATTTAAAAACTATTTGTTTTGGCAGAGCTATAATGTTTTCATTCACGCTAACAAAAAAAATTGAGCAGTATCACTTTTAGCCACTTGATGGCAGCAGAGTATTAGTAGCAGAAAGGCATGCCGTTGCGTCATGTAATAGGTAAACGTGGCTATAATGACAAATTCAAAAAAGTTCAAGACAAAAACAACTGGACTTTATTTATTATACTTTATTTTATATTTTATTGTTTTTTTTTCTGGAACTTTTTTGAATTTACCATGTCCTGGATGACTGAGAACCTTCACCATCTTTAAATGATATAATTGCCTTGCCACCTTCCTTCTGCTTGCTGCTTGGAACCTTAAAACCAATTGCACCGCCCCGGCGAAATGCAGCTAATTTGATCATTAAAGTGCATTTTTTTAAAGCAAACGTTAAACTGGAACACACCTTTTCTATAGTTTCAAGCAAACAAATAATTGTTTAGATGCTTTTCTTGTGAAATTTAAAAGAAACAAACCACGTTCATCCTCCTTTTTCCTCCCTCTGTGCGCTCCCGAGAGCACAGAGGCATCAAAACTATATCTTGAAATGCAGCTGATTTGACCATTAAAGTGCATTTATTAAGCAAACGTTAGAATGAGACACACATTTACTATAATTTTGCGCAAACAAATAATTGTTTTTAAGTGCTAATCTTGTTAAATTCTTGTTGGTCCCATGCAAGCTTCCGCTGCCGCCATTTGACAGCCCATTGATTTTTTTGGCACAACACCGGCCCACATTTCCGGGTTGTCGGCGGTGACACATAATAGATGCAACATATACGGCGAAGCAACATATTTATGGATTTTTCCACTTTATTATACAAATATGGACTGATGCGACTTATAGGGCAGAGCGACGTGTACAGCGGAAAATACGGTATATACATTTTTTTCCCTATAACGCAACTTTTGACTGACGTGTTAAATGTTCGTTCATACTGACATGAACCAAAGAGTAAACATCACCATTTGCAGCCGCGAGAGAGCCCTCTAGGCTTTTGACAACCGTATGTTGTTCCTCTATCGCTACCCTAAAACATGCACTTAGAGACAATTGAGAAAAACTTAACACAAGTAAAATGCTCACAAAAGTGCTGTGGAATGAGATTAGTGAATTTACCAGTAACTTGCTTGCCGTGATGTTAATTAAGCCTGTTCAGGATCCCAGGTATGTTCTGTGTGTTATTATTTCAGATTAAATGTCTGTTCTTGCACTTTGTGAAATACACTTCTAAATATTATTATAAAGTTTATTCTTTTTTTTTTTTTAACGAAACAATTCTATATACAATAAGAAATACAATCACAAATAAAATGAAAGGCAGCAGAAAGAAGAAACAATCTTATAATATCTGCCCCTTTTTTTTTTTTTTTTACAAAAAAATGAATTCAAACAATAAAACAAAAACAGAATACATAACTCCTTCTCGAGCAACAATTCATACAAACACACATCAAGCAATTTCTTTTTTTTTTTTAACAAACCAAGTTTGATCATTCTTTTAAACATGCACATTTAACTGGCATTTTTAACACTCTCCAGATTATTCCATAATCTAATTCCTTGGATTGAAGCAGACCATCCCTTCAAACTAGTTCTAAATTTCCCAAATATCTCTATCCCCTTAAGATTATAACAACTCTCTCTTTGAACAAAATGTAATTTAATATTTAAAGGTAATGTATTATTATGAGCCCTATACATAACTGATAAAATACTATAATCTACCAACTTCAATAACTTCAGTTAATAAAATACTTGATGGGTGATTGAAATGCTTCCTGGTAATAATTCTTACAGTTCTTTTCTGTACAACAAAATAAGGATTTATAATTGTTTTGCACGCTTTCCCCCAAACATGAATACAATAAATTAAGTGTGGACCAAGGATTGTGTTATGCAACAGAGCTTTATCATTTAATAACTCCCTTACTTTGTACAGATTTAGCTATTTTTATTATTACATAATGTATGTAATGTCAGCTTTTCATCAATGATAACGCCCAAAAAATAAATGCGACTTATACTCTGAAGCGACTTATAGTTCGGAAAATACAGTGCTCAGGTTAAATGAGTTGGCTGGGACAAGCTGACGCAGATTTGTCTTTAAAAACTGCGTCTGAGGAGAACGGTTTGAAATGTACAGGATTTTCAGTCATCTAGTGGAGAAGCCTATAGGCAAAGCTTTAGTGCAGTTTTATGAAACGAGTTTCAAAGACAAGAACAAGCATCGCTCCGTGATTCTAAACTTTTTTCCTGCGGTGATCACCGGCCTGCCCAAGGTCTCGTAGATTTTCAAAAAACCAGCTCCCCTCCCCCCGAGGGATACATGGATTTTTACAAGAAGTCTCATTCAACTGAGCGTAAAGATAAAATGAAGACCGCTTGAACGATAAGCACAAGAAAAGCCAACGTTTCCCTCTGCACATTCTTCTTACAGGCGTGTTCCAAAGCTGCAGGGAAATCAAACGTTGGTTTAATGCACAAAACGTGCATCTACGATTGCACGGGGGCCCAGAGGAGTCACAAAACAACAGAGTCTTATCAGTAGATGGGGACACGTATGCATGAGTATGCTACAAAATCCGTCCCAAATGGTTCAGGCTGAAATTGTAGTGGTAGAAAAGGTAACAAACAGAATATTAATCTTTGTGCCACTCACATAAAAGTGAAACAACCTTCAGTGCTCCTGATTTACGTAGTGTGAAAACACAAATTACACCGTCACACTGACAGAGAAGACATCCGTCTTTTCTCCTGAGGCTTTGAGCCTCTTTTAGCCTCTTTTCTCAGCTGATGTAGCAAAATTCCTTGAGGCTTACACACACACACACACACACACACACACACACACACACACACAGCAGCTGCACGTGGAGCTCATCTCCAGCACAGTTTAGCAGTGCAGACATCTGCAATGACTCCAAATCCATAGAGGGATGCAAATGCCCAATTAAAATTCACTGCACTTGAGCAGTCCTATACAGAATAAGGACATGTCTGATTACAAAAAAATAAAATAAAATAAAAACGCTGCTGTGTGAAGTTAATATGAAGCAGGTGTTGTCAGGTTAAAGATAGTGGAGTGTTATTTAATCCCTTCATCAGGTCTGTGTGATAAAAGGAGGAGAAAAACCTATTTATTGTAAATTTCTGAGAGAAGTGTGGCCAACAAATTAATTACTATCCCTGTGAGAAGCATCGACTACAAGAGAGGGAATACTTCTGCACAAAAATGGTTGTGTCTTGACAAAAGTGTTGCAAAAATGCACAAAAAGCTACTGATAATAAAAGATAAATTTACCTTTTTTGGAGAATAAAATACAAAGTATAATGTATTTGTCTTTGTCAAAGCAAAACATGAAAAGGTATCCTGAAATAGTAGCATTTGGAAGAGTTTACAATATAATGAATGCATTTCTGAAATGCGGGTCCACACTCATTGTAAACAAAGCACCTAAAACCACATGGAAGATTGAGTCACGTGATTAGACTACATTAGTTTGATCTTAGTTTGTGTAGGTAAACAAATGCTCAGCATGTTTAATCCATGTTTGCAAGTAAACCAATGTGCATTGTCTGATTTTGCTTATAAAGTTTTACTTTAAAGACACATTAACCACCAATATGAAAAAAAATATATATGCAGATTTAGATTTTGTTATTTTGTGACGTTTTTGTCCTGCGTGACTTTTTTTTTTTTAAAGAAAACTTTATTTAGCCAAAACAAATACAAGCAAATGTGGCAATTCACAATAGTGTAACTCTAAAAAGGGCATAACAGAGGCAGACTTCGATATGAAATAAAGGAAAGAAAGAAAGAGAGAAAAAAGGAATAAAATAAACTACAGCAAGGGGTTATATGTTTTAGGAATAGATTTCAAAAATATATGGAATTCAGATCAAAAAATGTTAAAGACTGGGGATGATTTTAGCACTCTCTGTTTATGAATAAAGAATTTTGCCAGACAAAATATCAGATTACAACCGAGTTCCATTTTTTTTGTTTTCCAATAATACTCCAAATGTTACCTTGTCTCTGGAAATAGATTCAGGAAGTGTAATTTTCAGTAATTTCCATCTTTCTAAGTGATTCCAGAATATTTCGGTTTTGTTGCGTTCATAGAAGACATGGTCTATTGTTTCTATATCCTGTTCACAGAATGAGCATTTATTGTCATCAGTATTAAAACAACTTCTTAGTAGCTCTTTGGAGGGGTAAACTACATTTAAAATTTTAAAATGTGTTTCTTTAGCCTTTGGTTGTATGAGGAGTTTTAAATATAGAGTTCTTAACATTTCTATTGATTCTTTGTCAAATTTGCAAAGTATGTTATTTTTATTTAATTTCCCAGGGAATAAGGTTTCATTCAGACAGCTTCTATTTGTGTGGTTGTTGAATTTTTTTTGTCAGTAAATGATATTCCATTTGTCCTGCATGACTTTGCAATGAGGAATTAAAGCTCTGTGAAGCTTCCAGTTGTAGTAACCAAAATGACCACACGGGGGCAGTAATCACAGCTTTTTAACGTCGCTACCATGGCAACGCAGCACCGGACAGCGTCACCACTTCCTGGAGCTCACGGTTTTTTTGCTGACATCAGAGGCGCAGCTCCGGGAGAGAGGAAAAGAAAACTCGTTTCTTGTAGTGTGTGTTGAGACAAGGCGAGCGCAGGTCGGGGAAACTTTAACTCTGCTTCGTGAACACGGAATTATGCACATTTAGACACAAAAAGGAGCTCTTTCCTGCCAAAAAAGTGAGGCTTGTTCGTGATGTTTTAGCGCAGTTTCCGGATTTCAGCTCGCGCTTTTAGGAATATTCTGTCTGCATCTGTGTTGGGATTTTCCCGGTGTTTATATTTTATAAACTGCAGCTCGAGAGCTTCATAAATCCTGCAGCCACAGCTTTACCATGGACATACTCAGAAAACAACAAGGTAAGGTCATCTATCAGATTGAATGGCTTTTAAATACATTTTTAATAATAATAATTTCAGCAGAGCTAAATAAATTAAAGCGTTTGCATGTGACAGTGTGCACTGACAGCAGTTCATGCAGGTGGAAACTTAACTGAAAGGCCTTTTAGTTGATTTTAGAGTTGTTACTGTACAGTGAGTTGGATTTTGGACACACTTTTTAAACAGTATTTGCTCTTCTTGTCTATATTTCTTGCTAGATTTAAAGCTTGGAACGGCTGTTTCTAGTTTAAAGTGCTATTTTTATTTGCTTTTTGGAAGCTTAAGTAGCAGGAGACCATGTCTGAAGATGTGAGTGATTTCTGGAAACTTGTGGTGTGGACTTATTTTTGCTTTGTTGTCAGCACAAAACGTGTGTGATTCACAGTAGTCAGTTCATGTGTCTACTTTTATGGAGGAACTTCAAAAAATGTTCCAGTTTTCCCATCCCGCCTGTCTTTCTCGCACCTACTTGAACTTGCATCCTCAAAACATTGAACGTTTTATGAAATTAAACGCAAGGATTCAGTGCTCCAAGCATTGCCCCGTTGTAAAATACGACCGCAAACGTAAACCATTCATACTAAACTATATTAAATAGTGCAGTTTGAAAGCGTTTACTGGAGTCGTTTTCCCAAATGGATTAAAACGTAAATCGGAAATGTGGGTATGCACTCGATGTAAACAAAACATTCATCTGCATGCGTCAAATTTCAGCATGACTTTGTACTAGTATTTTTAAATGGTCTTCCATTGTTGTCATCGTTGACCTATTTTCAGTCACTTTGGCTTTTTCTGTAGGTAAACAAACGCTTTGTTTCTTCACTTTGTTCATGACCCCAGGCTCAGAAATATCCCAAAAGTAAGAGGTGAACTGGAGTGGAAAACACCCTCAGAAACAATCCACTGAGCTGATAACAGGCCGGGATCCTGGTGCAGATGCTCTCACACTCAGAGAGTTGTGAAGAAAGTTCTCTCAAAGAAGAGTTTAGAGCTGGACGTGTTGTGTATCACTAACCCAACCCTTAAGATAATGAAAACTCTCCTTTAGCGAATTTAATATCAACCGACTCTTAATTACTTATATAGTTTTACGCCTTCTTTAGAATGAATATATCTTCAGCTCTGTCACCGTTTGCTCTGTGACGACTGTCATGTTACCGGGAACGCAGAAGCTCTCCGGCTCTCCCCACGCTCACAAACCAGAGGGTTGTTGGTCAAAGTTTACCGTGAGTCATACGGAGAGAATGTCCTACGTTCTCGTGAAAGTTTGTTTAAGATGTTCCCCTTCATAGTTTGAAAGAAAGAAACGACAAACGTCTGGTATAAGACGGGAGGAAAATTTTTTTTTTTTTTGCAATTTAGTTTCTTGTATTCAGTCAGAAAAGCTGTATTTCAAATGGACGGTCATTTACCAAAGGTTTTATATATTTATTGCATTTTTAGAGATTCAGGAATGAGGGTTTTTTTTCCACTCGACTTCCCTCCCCTCTTCATTTCAGTACCCGCACAACCTTACTTGATGCCTTGTTTAATGCCTAAACACAGGCTTTAAAATAAACATGAATAGTGCAGGGACACAGCTGGATCCAAACCTGGGGAATGTTGAACGATTGGCACCAGTACGCTTAAATATGCTTTTTAATTTCCCTGAAGGAATCTCCTCAAGGGATCAGTAAAGTTCTATCTAATTTAATCTAATTTAAATTCAAGTTACTTGGCCATAATAATGACGGATGTAAGTCTTATATGGCTTTTTAACCAACAGAGGGCTGATTTTGGGTCATATTGACCAAAAATATATTGGCTTGAATGAATCCATCAATAACCCGCTGCCATCCAGATTAGAAATTAAATCCTGATGTTAATTCCTGCACAAATGCATCCACCTGACTGGGGTAAAGATTTGATGCTATGGTCAAAATTAGCGATGCATATTGGATTTTTGTCCGATATGCTGATATGTTAAAAGTTATTTGGCCGATAATCAATACTGATATTTTATATACTTTCCTTTGTCAGAACATATTCCTCTTATTGGGGCTTATTTGCTACAAAAATTGTGTAACAGCTGTAAGAGCTGGTGACATATATTCAGTAACAACCATATGCATAGCACTTTAACTTATATTAAATGAAAAGTGTTAAATATTTATTAACATTAGCCAGCTGTGACGTCTCACTTGTGGAGGCTTGTTCCAGGTTCCTAGCTGCAGTCTGGGATCCTCTGCACTCTTGTGCATGAAGGACAGCCTTTTTAGGATCAAAGTTCATGTCTATCCATTGTGTCGTAAGACTAATCATGCTAACGGGGCTAACACGACGTCCAAACGTCTGTGGTAAAACTCACCCAAGCGCTATCGGCTATTAGCTTCGCAGCGATGTCTGAAATGACGGCTTGCAACTCGAGTAAGGCTACGTCTGGAAAAATATCTCCAACTGGGGACGATGTAGCGAGGCTCAACGTAGTCCAAAAATGTTCGGAGTCCGACATCCTCAACGAAAAAAGAAAACTTCCACACCGCCGACATTTTGACTTCTTCTTCTCCGCCGTGATCGGATCAGGTAGGCGCGCGTGACGTCATCCTTGTCACTGGGTTGTCAAACGAAACGGCGTCTTTTATATCGGTGAGTTCTTTTGATGGAATGGCCGATGTCCGATATTTGCGGTAACTTTATTGCTAATATCGGCCGATACTGATATGCCGATAATATCGCGCATCCCTAGTCATAACGTTAGTTTTCATATAATAAACCCAGTCTACACCTGACATTATGAGAGGATGCAAAATGACAAACTTCAATCACTTATTATAGAAATAATGTAGCCATTTCTATGTAAAAGACTTGAGGAAGTCTTTGAAGCTCAAAGCTGTGAAACAATGAGGTTTCTGATCTGTAGCAATACCGATCTGTTCGTTTTGAAATTAAGCCTACAGCTGTGCAGAACATTCCCAAAGCGAAGAGCTTCAGAGTCAGTCAGGGTTACTTTACTTTATCTGTGACAGGACAGCGAGATCCTCCCCCTCCCCGCCTGTCGCTCCAGAAACCCAAGAGGATGTCGTCTCGATGGAGCCATGTGTGCACGGCCTGTCTGACTCTTAGGACAATACCATCAGCAGCAACGGAGCCCGAGGCTGCAGTGCAAGGACGGCTGGATAGACAACGTGCAGGCAGACATAGGATTAGTGTGTGTACACGGTCAGGAAAAATACTGCCACAAAACAAGCGTGGCAGTTTTTCTTCATCTGGAGCTGTGCGTACATTTAGTAAATGAATAAACGAGGTTGGCTTAGTTGTTTGCAGTGATGTAAATATTAATCCACAGGAGAGAAATTAGGACAATTCTTGGTATCAACGCTGACAAGTTTTCTTGAATTTCAGCTGTGTACTTAAACAGCTAAAAGTTGTGTCTCTGCATTTAGGTGGAAACACCAAGACCGTTCATTACCACACAGTGGAAATAACAGCTCGCCTTTGCACAGATTCCCTCGTGGTGAACAGAGTAGGTGTATCAGACAGCTGCAGATATTGTCCGTTTAGCTGTTTTTACATTGCTGTGTGCTTCATAATGACTTCAGATGAATTAATAGTGTGATTGCTTATGAAGCATTCACACTATCGTGATCCATTTTTCTTCTGTACGTTTTTCAGCATCTTTCTCGTTCCACAATTTTTGTGCTATTTCAACAAATCAAAACGTTCAGCTCGTTCAGGAGAAGGGTGCTATGACTTTTGGTATTGGTGTAACTTTAGCTTTTTGAAATATTTAGCCTTTTCAGCCATTTTTTTCCTCCTCACAAAATGAATTGAGCTCGTTTTACATCCTTCGCATCTTTAAATCTGTTTACAACCTTTTACTGCTCCTTTCACATTTTGTTCTGGTTCAGCTTCTTTCAGCTTCCTTGGGCCAATTTAAACTTTTTTTAAGCTACTTTCGGCTGTTTTGCGCTTCTTTCAGCCTCTTTCTGCTAACTACATCATTTTTTGTGCTTCTTCTAACTTATTTCTGCTTATTTCAGCTTATGCTTCTTTCAGGTTATTTCTGCAAGTTTCAGTTATTTCAGCTACTGTTTTGCACTAATTTTAGCTCTTTCAGCCAACTCCACATTCTTTGCACTCATTTAAACTTTTTTCAGCTTAATTTAGTAAAAATGTGCACTATTCACTTTCTTCTGGTAATGTAAGGTTCTTTCAGCCTTTTTAGCTACCTTTCAGCTGATTTTTGGTAATTTCAGCCTTTTCAGATAATTTCCACTTTTTTTGTGCTCATTTCAGCTTCTTTCAGCAAATGTGTTCTTTATGCTTTTTTTTGTGCTAACTTATGTTTGTTCTTCATTTCAGCTACATTTCAGCATGTTTTTAGCTAATTTCAGCTGTTTTTCAGCAATATGCATTCCCATTGCATTTTTTTTTCATTTAGCCTTTATTTATCCAGGTTAGTCTCATTGAGCCACGAGAACTCATTTTCAAGAGAGACCTGTTTAGGGAGCACATGGTGGGGGTTAAGGGCCTTGCTCATGGGCCCAGAGTGGGGCGAATGAGGGTGGGGGCAAGTGTGGGTGTTTCACCTACCCCACCCACAATTTTGATGTTGTCGGGGCCGGGGCGCGAACCGGCGATCTTCGGATCACAAGCCCACCTCGCTAACCTCTGCGCCACCACTCCCCAATTCATTTTCAAATGAAATGCAATTTCTCTAGTTTAATTTTAAGTTTTGTCCGGTCATGATTACTGACTTTTTGAAACAGAACTTCTGGAAAACAGAGAAAAAAGGCTACGCTGAGATAGCGTGTAAGATGTGCATGGAAAGCTACATGCTAACATGCTTTAGCATAATGCTCATCATCAGGAGTGTACAGTTCAGTGTGCAAACATTTTTTATTCTATTCTGAAAGCATTATTAAAACGTATATCTTTTTACTTTTCTATAAGATGATTATCACCATAAAATATATATCTGCAGGTTTTTAAGTGCTCTA